ACAAAGTTATACATCAGAAGTGAAATATGCAACTATGAAAATAATCTTTAATTCTTGGGGTAAAAAATGAATTATATGTTGAAAGAAATTTGAAAATAATAGAGAATTTTTGGAATGAAGAATAATTGTAATGCTAATCATTTATCTACCTTTAATTTAACTCAATAAAAAGTTAAACTCTTCAAATTCTCAAGCGTGCAACATTGAATAAATGCAGTAATTATCACTGACAAAAGCCACTTAATTTATGTTGTCAGAATTCTTAATCGTTAAAATTAATTACTCATTATCACTTTATCCACTTAATTTTTAATTAATTTTTAATAACAACTCTTTTTAATAAATTATAATTAACAATATAATTACTAATAAAATGTTATAAAGTGAGATATTAAATACTACAAAATGAAATTGAAACTCTAATGCTATAACTTGATAATAATACTACACATAATGCTATATACAAAATTTACACTTATAAAATTCTGTATATTGGGCCATTTGTTTCGGGCATTTTGGGTTGTTAATGGATGATGGACAACAACAAATCATTTTGGGAATCACTATTATATATACTACTCTATTTATCTATACTTTCATGATACAAATTTACTATTACTTTTAATATATTAAGAAAAATATATTTAGATATACTTTTTCTACCGGGAGACACTAAAATGAAGAGGAAAGTGAGTGTATCTCAAATATATATAAGTTACACTAAATACATACGAGATACATGTATTTGTGTGTATCTAGTGTGATTCACACCTATGTGAAATACCAGATACATGTGAGAATGAAATGAAAGAGAGACAAGATATATATATATATATATATATATATATATATATATATAATTTCACTTAAATACAAGGTATAATACATAAATGTACCCTTTAACTTGGTTTTAAATTACATTTATGCCCTTCAACTTTAGATTTAACAAATAGACACTTAAACTTGTATAAAGTTGAACAAATAGACACATATGTTCCACATGTCATCTTCAGTGGCGTACCCAGGGTTTTCACAAAGTGGGAATGAGGATTTGAACTTACGTAGACGGGAGATTATGCTTTTTTTACCACTAGGCCAAGGGTCACACTTGCGTTAGTGGGGTCAAAAGTTAATCTATACATATAAATTTTTAAAAAATAATTAAATATACATATATATGCAGTGTTATTTTTCAACGAAGCGGGTTCATGTGAACCCACTTGACCCTCTGTGGGCCCGCCCCTGGTCATCCTACATGTTATTTTTGTCCTACGTGTATTGTTCCATGTAGGACTCATGTGTCTATTTATTTAAAAGTTGGATAGTTAAAGTGTCTGTTTATGCATTATGAAAGTTGGAGGACAAAGTTAAAATTTGAAGCCAAGTTTAAGGTCTAATATATGTATTATGCTTAAATATAATGTATCTAAAATAAATTATCTTTAATTTTAACTCAGATATATCAAGATACATATATTTATATGAACACATCAAAATTTAATTAGACACATAATATTATAAATTAAAGTGTATTTACATAATTAACTCTCGAATTAATTAGTGATATTGAATGTAAGTTACCATCATTTGCCATGAGATAAAAGATCTAAGGCCCAATGGATTTATTGTTTTTGAACAGGATAAAGATTCTCCAGGTTCTCCCCTCCAATTTCAACCAATCATTCTAATTCTAGCATGATGAGCTCAACTTCCATTGTCATCAACCACCTCAAAATTTTATTTTTCTTATTTTTCCTATGAAATGCTACTGATTAAGACCACCAAAATTCTTGGCCAGCATCCAAGTTTCTTGAACTAGTTGAGGAAAATGTCTCTTTTTGCTCCTTCCAGTGGACTCACACTTCTTCAATCAACTAAAGATCAAAACTTTAGGCAACTTTTTTCATCTCATTTCATCAATCATGTTCAAGTAAGAACAGTCCCTTATGCAACTCCTTTTCTTTCTGTCAATGTATCTGGTAGACCCTTTAGAGTTAGTTCAAGAAAGCTTAAACCCATCATAGCTTCAGCTGCCTCTACTGTCGAAACCCCCAAGATTTCATTCAGAGGTAAAAATCCAAAAGATATCAATGTTTTGGTTGTGGGTTCAACTGGGTACATTGGGAAATTTGTGGTTAAGGAGTTAACCAGTAGAGGATTTAATGTTATTGCTGTTGCTAGAGAAAAAAGTGGTATTAAAGGGAAGAATAGTAAAGATGATACCTTGGAACAGTTAAATGGAGCTAATGTGTGTTTTTCTGATGTTACCAATTTGGAGACTTTGGAGAAAAGTGTACAAGGTTTAGGGGTTTCAATTGATGTTGTTGTGTCTTGTCTTGCTAGTCGAAATGGTGGGGTAAAAGATTCTTGGAATATCGATTATGAGGCAACAAAGAATAGTCTTGTTGCTGGGAGGAAGTTTGGGGCTTCACACTTTGTTTTGCTGTCTGCAATTTGTGTTCAAAAGCCCCTTCTTGAATTTCAAAGAGCTAAGCTGAAATTCGAGGCGGAATTGATGAAAGAAGCTGAAGAAGATAATGGATTTACTTATAGTATTGTTAGACCTACTGCATTTTTCAAGAGCTTAGGAGGTCAGGTTGAATTGGTGAAAGATGGGAAACCTTATGTGATGTTTGGGGATGGAAAGTTGTGTGCTTGCAAGCCGATAAGCGAACAAGATTTAGCTTCTTTTATGGCTGATTGTGTACTGAAAGAGGATAAAATCAATCAGGTCTTGCCAATTGGAGGACCTGGGAAGGCATTGACACCTTTAGAACAAGGGGAAATGTTGTTTAAACTTGTGGGGAAAGAACCCAAATTTCTCAAGGTGCCAATTGAAATAATGGATTTTGCAATAGGATTTCTTGACTTCCTTGTAAAAATATTTCCTTCGTTGGAAGATGCGGCCGAGTTTGGGAAGATTGGTAGGTATTATGCTGCTGAGAGCATGTTGATTTGGGATCCTGACACTGGTGAATATAATGCTGAGGCAACACCAAGTTATGGAAATGATACATTGGAAGATTTTTTCCAAAGAGTACTGAAAGAAGGAATGGCTGGTCAGGAGTTGGGAGAGCAAACAATATTCTAAATACTCCATCAAAGAGGATACTCTCTGACAAATCAATTTTGAGGTATGCAGTTTGTCCGGCTGTAGCAGATATTAATAAGTTTACAATTTATTTATGTGTAAATTATACTCTAATATGAATATATGCTACATTCTGAAATGTTAAGCAGCTTAGTTATAATGTGCACATATCAACTAGTTGTGTCAAATTAGAGAATTCTTTTCCTGCATACAGAAAATGGAAATTATCCTGCCATCGAACTGCGGAGTCTAAGATCTTCTAGAAAACAGATGGCGGAGTAGAACTGTTGTTGAACAGTGTTGTCTCAAATTAGAGAGTTCTATTTCTGCATACAAATATGGAAACTACCCTGTTGTCAAACTGCATTTAATAGGATCTACTATAGATAGCCATTTGGTGGTATTTAAGCTAGAAAAAGGTGATTTTTATACCATGTGTGCACTTTATAATCCTTTTTCGAGGGTAATGTCTAAGACCAGAATGGTGGAGAGGGAGCTAATTAAGTGATAAAAGGGTGATCTCTTTTGTAGTTTTGCTTAAACAGTTAGATAACTTACCTTGCAACTCCTCTTGATGGAATTTCAAGCAAACTTGGGAGAGATATAACTGAACTGGGAAAAGCTTTTCACTTGCAAGTTTAAATTTCTAATGAGCTGGAGTGACTAATTATGACACAAGTGGATGTACTCAAAAGGTGATGCTTATTTGGCACCTTTCTGTTTTTGAGTTCAATTTCAGAAGCTCATAAATTTTATTTTGGATTGGATCTTATTCTCTGATAATATATACTAATAAGTATGTTGAGACAACTATTTGTACGAGTTAACTAATATACATGTTTATAGGACTGGTCATTGCTATCACAGTTGACTTAATTTGCCTGCAATGACCAGGTTTAGTTGTTTTTAGATGAGGTATTCAAATTGAGGTTGAGTACATAAACAACCTTACATCTGTAAGACTCATCACTTATGTTTGTTATATGGTTGGGACTACTAGCAATTACTTATCAGGTTCCCTTCTTCATTCTTTTTTAAGTTTTCTCTCCTTAGATAGTGCAATATATGTAATTTTAGGTGGTATTTACTTGTCTTATGCTTCCAACAAGTATATAGCAGGGTTCCTGGGCGAAAAGATAAGGGTGATATGTGCCCTACGTTACACTCCATAGGATACTCAAGATTGTTTAACACATATACTTTTCACTTGAAATACTCCTCTGGTTGCTATCTTAATATAATGATAGCATCCTAGAAAGGTTTACTATTACTCTGGTTTGTCTTTGGAAATGTTTCTTTCATTACATTAATATGGTAAGGTTTATGCTTGCGGGAAAAAAAATCGTGAGAGTAGTTTAACTCAAAATCTGATAAGGATAATTATGTAGATAATAGGTTATCTTTTTCTTGGCTAGTCTGAACAGAGACGTTTATTTGATTCTGGACGTTGTCCAATATTATAGTCCTTTTTTCTTCTTTTTCTTTGAACTATTTATTTAGAAGATTATGCATGCACTGTTAGTCTCTGTGTATAGATACTGGAAATGCTCCATTGTTTCAATATATGTACTTGTGTTACTTGTATCCCAATAGATGCCAATTCTCAAATGTTATAGTTTCTCATTTTTATAGCGAGTTCTGTTTAATAGTTGAGGTGTTCATTCAAGGTTGCTATAGGATTTGGACCTCATCAAAACATCCCATCTTAAATTTAGGGCCCATGATGACTATGAAGCCTCAAGTATCGGTAAGCTTCAAAGACATTGCAATCAAATCTAAGTCCTAGATATGGAGCTGTGGCTATTTCATGTCTTAGCCAGTCTTCATATTTTACCTGCTTAACTGGTATACCACAATTGACTCCAAAATGCTTTTGGTCCTCTGCTGTATGATAACAATTGATCGAAGATAGAGAATTTTCTGTTTAATATCAATACAAGTACATCAATGAATTCATATACAAGAACTGGTACAATGTCTACTTTCACCAGCTGCACAAGAAAATGGCCAAACATTACCCAAATTTGAACAACTCATACACACACACTTTCACATACTGACATTTACCAAGGGTTGTTCTGCTATACATGAAGAATTCACTTTTCATCTGTCTTGTCACTTGGGGATCTTCTTAGAAAGGGAGTATACAGAGAGGAGAACAAGTAGCACAAGCATAACACTCGCGAACAATGAGACTCCTATAGAAGCTCCTACGTATCTGCAAAACTTTCCATACAGTGTGCAAACCTTTCCCCACCTCACATGAGTGTTGCCTTTTAGTCCCACGTAAGTCACCGATCCTGCTGCTCCTGTTGCTGATGCCACTATTCCTAGCAAAAGCTGCAAGTTTACATTAACATTAAGCTAGTAAGTACTGGTAAACCCAAGATTTAATCAATAAACGTGCCACAGTCACAGTGAACAATATTCTACGCGTGTCTTGACTGTGATAGTATAGTCCACACCAAAATTTCATAACCTACTTCCTAAAAACATTGTATGGAACTAGTGATACAACAGAAAGCTCGGGAGGCCTCAAGCACAATACACGTTACCTTGGAGATACCTAATTCCATCTTAATCTATCGTTGAAGAAAAAGGCGATCAGAACTTACTACATCAATGACAATGAAGTGGGAAATGATCTTTGCACAGCAACCAGGCTTGATGAGGGAGTACAATGAGCCTAGTGTAGTAATTAGGCTGAAGAAACCAGCCACAGAGAGTGCTGCTACAAAATAGCTGCAACACATAAATTCATTAGAATTAGCTAGCTTTCATAAACTAGTTTGAAATTAAAGTTCAATTCTAATCAATGCAAATTATAGTCAAAATGAATAAAAAAGATAAACAAGAAAAAATAAGGAAGGTGAAATAGAATAGCCAAGTGTCAAGATATGTTATGCATTAAATTAAATGATGCTATAAAAATAAGAAATTTTGACAGAATCCTAATTATGAGATGTGACTCAAAAAATATAATTGTTGTGGCAGCTGTAAATCCACTTGCTAATTGTTTTATAATCATATTTTCAGATTTTTACTATACAAAATTGGAAAAGAACAGATACACGTGAAGAAAATGTTGGCTTTTGTAAGAGTATACGCGTGAATTAGGAACACATCATGGATTTCAACTCTACTCTAAAGAAAAGTCATAATTCTTTTTTTATTTTAACAGTTTCTCTTACGTATCAATCAATACTATCTTTTCAAACGTATGACCAAATTAAATAAGCACTTTTTAGAGTCCGTTTGGATTGATTTAGAAGTTAATCATACTTATTTATAAGTCATTTTAATCTTTTAAAGTGTTTGGCAATTTAAAAATAACTTAAAATAAGTTTACAATGACTTAAAAATCAAAAGTAGGTCTCCTTGTTATTTTTTATTTTTTGACTTAAAAGTTATTTAAGTTTGACTTTTTCTTTTTTGACTTAAAATATATTTTTAAAGTCAATCCAACCGGACTCTTAGGACTCGTTTGGTAGGGGGCCTTAAGTAGAATAGTCCATGGATTAAAATTTAACCATCTAATACATTGTTTGGTTACATTATTTTATTTAATCAATGAATTGCTTATACATGATATGTGTGTGGTCTTATTTAATCCCTAGTAAATGAAGGGATAACTAATCAAAGATTTGTTAAACTTTGGATAAGACCCATAAATGACAAAACTATCTCTTTATTCATTTTCTTAAATTTCTGTTGTAATTACATTTTCTTTTATTAATATTGAAATAATTATAAATATTCTTTTTAATGCTCTAAATTCATTAAGTGTAATTTAATGATTTCACTAATATTTTTCTCTTTTTTTTCAATGTAGTTCGTCATTAATCACTTGAACTATATTTTTAATAAGCTTTAGCTATTGAACAATATTAGTAGTTTTAAATCTATGTTAATTTTAAGATATACTTGACCAACAAAAAATTAGAAATATGTCATCAAAGATCTCCTTGAGGTATATTTTTAACTTTAGCTAGTTATTAAATGAAATAGAAAATCCTAAAAAAAAATAACATTGTCCACAACAACTTTGATTAATTATTATCCAGGTAAGCGACTTTGGTATAAAATTGTATAAGTATATTTATAGATCTCCATTTTAAGTTTAAACTCTTTTGTCAACATCCGGTTGCCATATACAATAATTATACAGGGTTAAATTTGTAAAAAAAGAAATAAACAATGATTTAGCTTCTTTTTTTTTTACTATGAATTCTATTCAACTGTTGCGTAGTATTAAATTCTTGTTATTAATCACGCACAAAAAAGAAAAAAAAATTATTTCAATTTATATAACATATATTTTTTTTGTTATTTTTTAATATAAATAAATTATAGTGTTATAGTCCGGTTATCTACTTTGATTCAATTATATGAAATAAAATTTTTTATAATTACACAAGGGTATAATAGGAAAGAAATTGTTCGTAGGTTACAACTCAAACATAAGATTAAGTGAAAAGTAATGAACCAAACATTTGATCAAAAATAATCCATGTACTATCAATCCCTGCATTACTAATCTCTGCGTAACTAATTCATGCATTACTAATTCATGTGTTATCATGTTTGTACTATACGACCCCTTAGTAATATTGTAATCTCAGAATTTATCAGCATATCATACCTATTGATATTATCTGCTATACTATAACCGATAAAAACACATTTAAGGTTCCTTAAATCTAATCACAATTTTTGCTTGTTTGAACAAACTTTTAAAATCAACTTATATTTTTGTGTTCTTTTAAAAAAAGATGGTTAGGAGTATACTTGATGGAATACAAATTATGTTTGGTCAATATAATTTTTAAATCACTTGTGAGATTGATCAAGCTAATTATAAGTGTTTTTAAATGTATTTTTCTCAAAAGCTTTTCAAAGTGTCTTCGAAAAAGAAAAAGGGGAGAAGAGTTTGATATATCCCTCAACTTTCTCATTTAGAGTTATTATACCCTTTGTTATGAAAGTGACTCATATATACCTCTACTTGTAAACAAATGTCTCACATATACCCTTTTCCTCTAACGGAAATGAAAAAAATAATTTTAATCTAACTTTTTATTATTTTTTTCTACAAAAATATAATTCCATATGAGTAAATTTAATCCTCGTCAAACATATTTTTTGACTTTTTTTTGTTTCAATGACTAATTTAAAATTACTATTTTGATAATCAAATTTATTTATGTTTCACTAATATTTTTGTAAAACTTATTGTAGATGACCAAATTTTTTTCTTCGAATACAAAAATCAAATTACAATATAGACAAAAAAATAGTTTAAATTTTTTCTTTAAACTAGGGAAGGAAATAAAAAATAAAATAAGAATAAGAAACTCAAATAATTATAATAAAAGAGGTTAAAAAATAATTTATGTATGAAAAAAATTAAAATATACCTTGTATTTTGATAGAAGAATCATATATACCCCTAAATAATTTTTTAAAAAAATTAAAAGTAATAAATATAAATTTAAAATTATTTTTTTTAATTTCCGTTAAATGAAGGATATATATTAGTCATTTTGTAATGGCACGGGTATATGTAAGCCGTTTGTATAACGATAAGGGCATATATGAACCACTTTCACAACGAGGAATATATCAGCTCCAAATGATTATGTTAAGGGGTATATCAGACCCTTTTCCAAGAAAAAAAAAATCTACTCTTATTTGGTTTCTAAAAAGAACTACTCCCCTCCTAACACTCACTCTCTCAAAAGCTAAATCAAATATCTCTTCTTCTTTTTTTTAAAAAAAAAGTGCTTTCTCAAAACAAAATAATAAACATTTTTGGCCACCCAAAACCTTGGCCAAACATGTTATTACATTGTTTTCCAAAGCATATCAATCTTTTTCCCATACAGTATGTTTTCCTCCCATAGCCTATTTTCGAAATTCTTAGTAAAAATTCTGACATCGTCACTGTCGTTAGACCAAAACAAAGATACGTAAAACTTACATGAGTGCCGGTGAGTGAGTGAACTTAGCAGGACGAGGGTTTGGGAGCATTTTAGTTTCCTTACTAGTTGACATGACCACCACAGACACAACCGCCGAAGCAAACACTAACAACCTTAACACCACATCAGCCACCGCAAAGTAGTCAGTGGGCCAAGTTGTAGGTGGTGGAGCCGCCTTTTCAGGCTCCACCACCGGAGCTTCGGTTGGGGGAACAACCTTTGCAGGTTCACTAGCCATAGGTACACAACACTAGAGGTACCAAAAATTATGTATTAAATGATAATTAAGTTAATTAGTGATAATCAACACAATAGATAGTGATATTTATAGACTTTTTTTTTATAAAAAAAAACTTAATCTAATTAAGGTAGTTGGAATTGCCCACACGCCAAGTTTTATTTGATTAATTGGATAATAAAACATAATTATATTGATGCTAGTTCGACTACGTTAATGTTCAAACGATGTGGAAAATATTCGTGACGCTAGGATTGATGTAGAATCAATGATCATACATTATATAATTGGGTTTCTTGTTGATGTTTATGTCCAATTTTGTACGTGAAGGACTAGAACCTTAATTTACATAAAGTTGAAAATGATTTAATGATTATCTTCAACTTTAACACTTCCTTGTAGTCTTATTAATCATTAAAATCATTTGTAATTTGATGAATCACCCATTTACCTAACTTCCCTTTTTCCTCCGTATCAATAGATAAAGGCACAAGTATATCACATTATATGACCGAAATTTTAGAAATATACTTTGATTAAATTAATGTCTTATTATTTCTAAATTAATTTTTTTTAAATTTTTTTATACCTTTTGGCTTATGTAACTCCATACAATTAAAGCGTGTGAGAGATATTTAGATGTCATGTAAGTCAAAAAGATTAATATACTTTTCCCTATCAAAGTTGTGACATTACTTGAGTAAATTTTTTTTTTTGGTAATAGAGTAAATTAAGGTTGATGGGACTTGTTCATGAGAATTTTAGGTATATATTTTTACTTGAGGTAACTACTAACTACCAAAAGAGAGTTGACAGAGGACAATGATAAAGGGGCCTAGTTTGTTCAACTAATTAACTTTAACATTATTTTCAACATTTTTCTAACAAATGATTGGACTTTTATCTCCTTTTAATTTTGGGTCTATGTCTTTTACGTTATTGATATTATTAAGTTTGAAATATTTAAATTTAAATATACATAAATAAAATAAAACATACTAATTAACCTTTAAGTATAATTTGAATATTAAGATGTTAAATCAAGCTTTGAATTACAAAATTATAAAGTTGTTCTTTAATCTCAATATCTGAATAAATAAATTAGTTCTATTTTAAAATTAATAAATACAGAATCAAATAAGATACTATGTTAATATAATATTTTTAAAAAATTAGACGACGGTTGGTGATGGTGATGGTGAAGGTGCTGCTAATACTAGTGGTTATGAGTGTTCATTGGAGGTAATGTCGATAGTTAGAAATTTCTCATATGATGTTGGAGGTAATGTCGATAGTTAGAAATTTCTCATATGGTGTTCGAACTTTGAATAGCAAATAATATTATATTTTTCAATAATTAGGTGCACCAAAAAAATTAAAATCAAACAACACATATTTAGCTATTTTTTTAATTTAAAAGATAATAATTAAAATGACTTTGTTATGAAATTAAAACATCAATTGTACGGTTGAATTATGTTTGGGGAAAATGCATATAATAGCAAACTATCAATTCAAATTAAATATTGTAAATATAGTATAATTTAGTTGTACCCCATAGCAAACTGTTGATATTTCGCCTCTCTCCAGGTGAATCTCGCTTGCCACTTTCGTTCTCTCTCTCGCCTGTTTAGCTTTTATATAAACACAAACGTATTTTTATACGTTTGTGTTTGTATAAAGCAAGAAAAAAATGTATATATACATATATTTTTGTTCTCCTCTCCCAGATCTCGCTCGTCACTTTCACAGATTTCGCTCGCCGGTCTCTCCCTTGCCTCTCTCGCTTATACAAACAGAAATATAATTGTGTATAAAGCGAGAAAATATTGTATATACACCTGCAAATATATATATCTTCGTCCTATACACTTATAATTATACAATAGAAATATTTTCCTGTCAGTTCTATTTTGCCTTTCTTTCTTTCTCGCTTTATACAAACACAGATTGTACAATTTATCTTTTGTATATGTATACCGAAACAAAAATAAATTATATATATCTGTTGTTTTCTTTTGTATTTTCATAGCAAAATATACATATTTATATTTGCTATAAAACACAATTATACAAACTATATCTATAATATATAAAAATAATTTTTGTTTTTGCTACATATGATGGTTGCTCATTATGTTTTTGGTCCATTTAGTTTCTACAGTTGATTAGACCCAAATAGGCCCAATTTAAAAGGAAACATTTAGAAGGCTAAAAATAAGAGAAAATCACACAAATTAGACCCAATAGACAAAGTATTTATCCTAGTTGCACTCAATTTCATATGTTAACTTTGATTGGATTAACAACCCAATTATTTATCTAAGTTGCACTCAAATTCAATATGTTAACTTTGATTGGATTAACGACCCAATTATTTACCTGATTACTCCCCTTATTTTATTCATTGAACCATTGCTAATATCATCAGAGTATATATATCATTCTAAATATGTTTATAATTATAGAAAGTAGCTAGTGGAGTGATTAACATTAATGGTTGATAACGACTGATAAATCTTGTGGATGATAATAATAATTGAAAGAGTAAAAGGATCAAAATCATTCTTTATACTTGAGTTAAGAATCAAAATAATCCGTATCTTTTAACACAGAACACTGATAATCCTTCATGTTTTAGTACATTTTTAGTATTCTTTCAAACGTCTGTTTGATTTTTCAATGGAGATTTTTTGCAAGTTTCCCCCAAAACTCAGTTTTTTATCCCTAATTCCTCGTCAGGATTCTATTTTCTCTTCCCTTTCTTCTTCAATCAAATCCTATAGTTAAAATTTTATTCAAAATTCCATTAAATGCTTGGTCAATCCTTGGAAGCAACTATGTTGTTGAGGCACAACAATGACAAAGAATCAACTCCTACTTATAATTATTTTTTTGATCATTGTTATTGCTTTTGTATTATATATACACGTGAAACAAAAACTTGGTAGCAAGATTAATACAAAAATAATAAATCAACTTAATTATATCGTATATATATTAGAGAAGAAGAGTGACAGAAGAAAAGTACAGGAAAAACGAGAGTGACAACGTCGAATATAAAAACTTGTTAGCGTCGACAAGATTTGAAAAAGAAATCCTACGATGAGTTGATCACAGAGTATGTAGAATGAGCTTTTGTAGATCAATAATCTCCTTTGCTCACTTGTTTTTATAAATACTAAAAAAAAACTACATGTATATTTATAGTAGGTCCCTTCAAGATGCTTACAATTTCCTTCATTTTTTTTTTTTGTTTGTATAATAGAAAAATCAAAGTTATGGAATTAGAGATGGATACTATGGAGAAGAAGGGGAAAATTGGGTCTACACCAACTGAAAATGGAGTTATCAAAGAAGACGATAAAATCTGACTCGCAACGGTGAAAGTAAGATTATCATGTATTTGCTTTTTCGCGTGCAAAGGAAGGCTCCAGATGATTAGAGAAAATACTAAAAGTGTACCAATTCTTGAAACATGAAGAACTATTAGTACTGTATAATAAAAGAAAAAAACTACTTTGATTCTTGACTCAAACATAAATGACGATTTTGATCCTTTTCTCTAATCTCTTTTGCCAACTTTCTTTCATACTTAATAAAAAAAACTAAACAAAATGTCAATCACCATAACATATGAGAACTTCACTTCATCCTTATTGAAAGTTTGAAGTTGATACAACTTTGATTAAATGTCACAATGAAGAGAGTTGTTGCCTAAATAAACTTGGCAACACACAATTGATACCCAATAATACACCAAAATATAGTTTAATATTAAGAGAAGTGTAAATAACACAACAATAACAACACCAAAGTCAACTATTTTCCTGAAAAATTGGTCTTATTTGTAGTTGAATTTCTTTGGCTTTGATTATTAGCAACAATTTCAGATCTTGTTTGAATTCTTTTTTCACCCCTCATTTGTTGAAGTCTATTTTTGATAATGGTTGATTCTCCTTTCCATTTCACTTCAAAACGTGGTTGATAGTCAATATCTCCAGTAGCCTCATCAGACCTCTCTGAAACTCTTGTACCAATATCAACAACTCTTCTACTTGGCATTCCAGATTGTATAAATAAACCACAAAGGTTAGTAAAATTATTTAAGTTAGAAATCTCTAATCTAATTAATAATTTATGATTGTACTTACATTAACGGTGTGTTTGGTATGGAGAAAAATGTTTTCCATGGAAAATGTTTTCCTAGAAAATGTTTTCCTGGAAAATAAGTGAATTTTTGACTTATTTTATCATGTTTGGTTGGTGAGTAGAAAATATTTAGTGTTTGATTTATGAATGAAAAATGTTTTTGAGAGACATCTTTTAATTTTACTAGAGTAAAAAATAATTTATGACATGAAAATATTTTAAAATCAAAATTATTATTTTTTGGGGGGTGGTGGGGGGAGGGGGAGGGGAGGGGAGGGGATAGGAGTGAAAAAATAAAAATTTGAAGTTGATAGTATTGTTAAAAAACAAAATTAATTTTTTTGGGGATTGGGGTGGCTGGGGCTGGTAGGGGGGGCTGGGCCGGGAGGGGGGGGTAGGAGTTTAAAAATAAAATTTGAAGTTGAAAATATTTTTAAAAAGCAAAATTAATTTTTAGGGAGGGTTGGGTGGGGGGGGGTTGGCGAGTGGGGGAGGGTCGAGATCAGGTGAAAAAATAAAATTTTGAAATTGAAAATATTTATTTAAATTGATGTTTTTCCCCAAAAAAAATGTAATTTGAAATGGAGGAGAGTTATGGAAAATGTTTTCCTTAATTTTTGAAGGGAAGTCATTTTCCTTAATTTTAAGGAAAATGAGTTAATTTGGAAAACATTTTCCGAAACTTTTGTCCCAACCAAACATGAGAAAATTGGAAAACATTTTCCAAAAAATGTTTTCCTTCGTACCAAACACACTCTAAGAGTTGTAAAACCATTATCACCAACTAATACTCCAAATCCTGCCATCCTTGGCCTTTTAAAAGGTCTTGAAGTCTTTCCACCACTAGTGCCTTCATTCTCGTAATTTTCTTGAGACATACCTATTCCTCTGTCTCTTCCTCTATTTTGT